AACGACTGTGAAATTCTAGAATGTGCAGTCACAGTTCATAACAATGTGATGGAAGATATCAACAGAAGTGTTTATAAAAGGAAGGTTATATGCAAATAAAAAATGTGTCTGGGATTGCTATGCATAGAAAAGAACAAGTGTTATACAATTTTGGAATCTTAATTAAACGGGCCAACTTTTGAGAAACTTGCCTGAGGTTGTGTGCAATAGTTAATTATGAATCACAGATTTAATTGTAAAATATTTTTAAACTATGACTTTTTATTTAAAATTCCTGTTTATTGATTTGTAACATCTAATATTAATAAAAATTTAGGGACTGTAACATATTTTCAAATATTTGAACTGACCAAGTTGCATAATATTTAATATTTTGCATCAGTATTCTGGGAAAAGTAAGAAACATTTTTAAACATCTATCGATGGAGTTTACATTTCGCAAGTTATAAGTATTTAATGTTTATAATTTTTTCCTACATCTATTTATTATCATTGATATTTTTTCCTTATTTGTATTCTTATCAGTAGCTATTTGTAATTTGTGAATGTACTTCTCCATTAACTTTCTAGAGAAGAAATTTATGTAAATGTAATTGTAAAATAAATTAAATGTAATTATGTTAATTTATTTTACAGTCTGTGCCTTATTGGTCATCAGTTATGCCTGCTGCTGCTGCTCCTCTGATGGTTGTACCTCAATCTAATTTTGGATGCTGGCCATATTATGTTTCTGGTGAGTAGGTTAAGTAATAAAAATTTAAAAGAATTTTCAATGATATTAATTAGTTTATACCTATTATGTAATAATGCCTGTATACTTTTCTGAATATTAATTTTGACATTTTTGTGTCATAAAATAAGTATTAACTTGAAAAGGTGTTAATATAATATATAGTCTTTAAGATGTTTTCGTGTTCACTTAATTATTTATTAAGGAAATATTGGTTTATTTATATTTATGTATTAAAAATTTTGGATTTCGCATAATTCAATCAGGATGTATATACTCATAAAATTGTCACCAGAAATTAAACAATGTTTATTTCTGTATGGAGGTTGTAAAATAAAAGTCAGAAATTTGATATACATAGTTAGAAAGCTATTACAAAAGGGAACAGTTGAAGATCGCATAGAAATAAATTTATTGCTTGATAAATGCTAATGATACAAAATAGCAAACAAGCAAGAAGTTTGTCCTTCATTACAAAATAAGGAAACAAAACTGCTAAAGTTGATGATTTTGGAATATAAGCATCTCTTGCTGCAATACAAACATCACATGATATTTTATGCTTCGAATGAGAGTCTGGGTCAATTGCAGGACAGATTCTGCCCCTCAACAGTTTTGAGCTGAATAGTGACTCCTCGTGGAGTCAGTTAAGTTGAAATCGTTTGTCCCAAGCATATGAAATCTTTTGTTCCAAAAATACTCAGATTTAAGTCTGGGAATTGCATTGTACTTGATATCTTTATAATAAAAATATTCTTCTATGGGTTGAAAATGGTGTGTTATTATTTTATATCTGTGAATATTTCCTATGATCGTATTGTACCTTGAAAAAGACAAACATGAAATTTCACAATCTCATCTCTATAACTTGTTACATTAGCAAAACCTCCTCCTCCCTAAAGATAAAGGTCTGTGCATCCAGTAAATATTTTGTCCACATACCAATGCCACTATACTGATAATTTTGTGTGAAATTATGTGAGTGTTAACCCCTTAACTGCTGTGGCTTCGCTCAGCAGGTGCTTTAACTGCCTTTCTGAAGTACAATTTTTTGCATTGGTCTGCAATCAGCAAAACTATTCAAAGATTTTAAATGCAATAAAATGACCCTGACATTGCTTGTGAAGGCTTTCTGTATTTCACAGAAAGATTTACTTATTTATGCCTTTTCTTTCACCACATATGTATGCTGTGTGAAAAATCGGGCACTGGGAAGCAAACTAATTTCCTTGGCAGGTAAAAAAAAGAGGGAATAATATATTCCATGTTCTCTTGAGTTATGCTGTGAAAGGAATAATTCTGTTAACTACATGATTCATCACTCCATTGATTGATTATTTGTTCATTTCCCATGTTCTTGGCTTCATCATCCTTGGGCTCTTTTTTTACACACAAGTCAATGGCTCACAATAATTTTTCACTAGTCAATCTCTCACAAACAGCTGAATGCTTGTCATATGGAACATTCTTCCACAGTCTTTTGTTTGCTATTTGCCTGAGAATCATTATTACTATAGTTGCAGAAAGCTTTGAAGACATCTATCTGGTAAACATTGTTGGGTTACATAATACAATCAGACATAAATTTATCTTGCTTTGACATTAATCAACCTGTTACGATTTATCTTGGAACATTTGCTATAGTTTGGTATCATTTCCTTGGTCAATGAAAGTTATTACTGTGCAACATTTTTTACTGTAGATTCTTCTGTCTGTGATTGTCCAATTTCCTATTTTGTCCATTCAATGGTTCTGCCTTTGAACAACAAGTCAATATATATTTTCTTTAAACTATAATCAATGCTTTTGCAATTGTTGAAATAAACACTGACTCGTTGATTACACTCAACCAGAATATCAAAGGCACATTTCACATAAGGTTACTTGCCATATTCTTAGTAACTCCTCCTGTGTGTCGTTCCATAACATCACTTGATAAAAAATTTGCTCATACATAACCACTGGTTTACTACAGTAAATTATATGCAATTTCTGGCTTTTCTGTTTCATTTTGTCCTTTCATTTACAAATTATGCTTATCTTGTTGATGTTGTGTGTGTATATATATAGTGTAGTTTGTATAATTAGTTCATGTATGCTATTTTTCCTCTTTTCATTTGTGTTCTATTCTTACCTATTCTGTTATTTAGTTTTGCTGTTACTCTCTGTTTAGTCCTTATAATTATTTGTTGTTTTTTTCTCAAAAAATTGGAACTATAACTTAATATAAAAAGTAACCTGTTGGAGATCATTTCAAATATTTACCGAGAAAACTTTTAAATAATTAATAATATAAACAATGAAGTTAATATGAAACAGTATTCTTTTAACTTATTACAAAATTAGAGTACTGTAATGTGAACAATTTGTAATTTTAGGTCAACCTGTGACAGTTGGTTATCCTGTGGGTCAACAACCCTTACAGAATCCTAATTATCATTACCCTGTCCAGCAGCAACCTCAACCTTATCAACCATCTGAAGATGACATTAAACAAGTAAGTATTTTGAAAAATTAGTTGTTAAACTATTAAAATAAATACATAAAGATTTTTAAAAAATTATGTATTGTATAATTTTTTATATACTATCTTCATATATGCAGCATTTTCAATAAGTAAAGGTACAATATATAGAGGAAGACAGAAAAGATTTTGGTGGGTGCTTGGGCTTTAATTTTACAGTCTCAAGCATATGCTTTCTTTATATGCTTGCTTGCCATTCTTTTGCCAAATTCTCATTCAAGTACAACATTTTTAATTAAGTAGCTGTGCCTGTTTAGGGTTTGCCAAATGCTAAGTGCACTCTGTCGTATGTTTTTCTCAGTGCAAAGTATGAGCTACCAGTGAATATTGTTTTAAGGAATTGTTTCTGTCTATGGGAATATTATAATTTGATAAATTGGAATGAAATGTTGTGATTTCTTTTAAAGATAGGATCAATGTTCATGATGAATGCAGATTAAGTTGACTGTACAGATTAAGTTCTGATGCTCTTCAGAGAAAGGAAAATGCAATTCATGTTAATAGGCATTTCTGAAAGATTTGAATATGAATAAGGTCATTCTACAGAAATGTCTATATATTTACGAAGCTATGGATGTAATTTAAGAAATAGGAAATTAAGTGTGTGCTTGGTTTCTAAGATGTATGTAGAAGAACATGAAAAGAAAAGATGACATTTGTACTCATCCTCACATGGTATGCTGAAGCTGGGATGGAATTTCTTGATCTCATTGTGATGTGATAAGGCAGCAATATATCACCACAACACTAAATTATTTATGATATTGTTCGCACTTACATGGCAATTCAAATTGAAACAAGAAACGTTTTAAAAGTGAAACTTTCAGCTATTCACTTCAGACTTGCTCCCAGCAGCTTTAATTTATCATAAAATCCAGCATATAATGCACACTTTTAACAAAAAATAAGATAGAAATTTACGGGTGTGCGTTATACACCGGGTATAAAAATGAGAGCTTTAAAAATAAAAAAAGATAAGCATAGAAAAAAATTAGACTTCTACACAGATCACAATACTGTTTATTTAAACGAAATGACATTTGTTATTAACGTAACGGGTTGCAGTTCTAGATGTATACTATTTTTTTTCTAAAGCTTGGAATAGTACCTCAAATAAATGACTTCAAAAGAGCATTGTGCACATACATTTCAGGTTTCTTCATAAAAGAAAAGGTGCATCTTATACAGCAAATATACCATAAAATTAAAAATTGTAGCTTGAAAATTTTGGTCTGCATTATACACCGGATTTTATGGTACTCCTTTTCTATGAGAAACATCTTACCCAATAAAACTGTTACAAATGTGAGTGGATAAAAAATGAAGTTAAAATTTCGTTTTGATGTAAGACAATTCCATTTTGTGGAATGCAAAAGCTTGTGTCTTAATTTAACAGGTGTTAAAAAACGATGGCATGTAAAAAATCTACCAAAAAGTAATATGTAAGGGAAGTTTTATAAAATAAAATTATTTTAAATGAATATAAGGGTTTCTATCTTTATTTTTAGAAAATGTTTATTATCTGATTAGTAAAAACTGCCATAAAATAAAATTTTAAATTTATAAAAAATTTTGGGAAATTTTTTATGTATTCTTTTTGGAGATTTTGCCATTAACTTTTGAGAGTTCCTGACCAAAATAACTCCGCTGAAAAATTGCACAGGAGATAATTAAGGTTATTTAAAAGCTATTCTTTATAGGTACTCTTCTCTGTCATAATACATTCTGCCAAATGCACTTGTTAAAGGCTGAAAGCACCAGTTCTCATCTGATCAATGAAACTAAACATCATCAGGCATGGTCAGTACTTGAAAGAGTGACCACCTGGGAACATTGTGATTGAATTCTATGGAAATAATCAGAATTGTTGAAAAAATTATGTTCTCACTAATGCGGCTGTTGTACTTATTTGTGGAGCAATACTTAATAGTTCATTTAAACTGCCAGTTCAAAAAGATGGACGAATAACTGGCTACTCACCTTTTCATTATTTACGAAATTTCAATAATGTTTTATCAAAGGTTAACAATATGATTGAGTCGAAATATCTTCTAATGTTGTAAATTTAAAAAAGTTCACCTTAAATAAATTTCAAAATGAAAAAACTTATAGATAAAATATGAAAAATATTTTTTTTTAATCTTAGACTATCTCTATTAGTTTGATTTACACTAAGAAGTATGAAATAAAATAATTATAAATTCTTGACCTCAATAGAAAATTGCAGTTGCTCTTAATATCTATGTTTATGTTAATTCTAAAGCAGCCAAGGGAATTTTAAATTAAAAATTTGAAGGAAATGGGAATCAAGCAATCTAATTTTATCTTTCTGTTTGATCTTATGTTCCAAATCTAAATAATTTTATTAATATAATTCTTAAAGAGAATGAATTTACATTTGCTGTTTCTCAAAAGAAATTCTTATCTTTTAAAATATTTTAGGTATGCTGAATTTTATTATTGATTAAGAAGGCTACATTAATATCCTAAAAATAACAAAAATACAATTTTTGCATTATTCGGTGGTTTATTTCATTATGAAACAGTGCAAATTCTAGGTCTGATTCAAGTTAATTTTAAAGATATCAAGTTTTCTGAATGTTGTCAATTATAAAACCTATGCTTTTACAAACTATAAATACTTTTTTTTCAGACTTGTTTTTGTCAGAGCAAGTTCCTATACATTAAAATGCTTTTTTCTTCTTTTTTCTGTTTATGACAGTCTTGGAAATTGTTTGGTTATGTTTCATATACATCTACTTTAAAATTAGCATAGATTTAAGTCTGAGACTTTATTTGTAGCTATTTTTCTTTAAATGTCAAAATTTATATTTAAAAAAAATTTATTTTTGAGGGGAGGAAGGGGATTTGCTACAAAAATAATTAAAATTCAACTAAAAGTCGGGTTTTCAATTCCATACTTACTAACTTTTGCTCCAATAATACGAGAAATATAAATCATTTGAAATAACTGAAAATTATTAAAAACTTAAAACTTTCCTAGTGTTAAAAAAATTTTTTTTATTTGGGATTGCCATACACATACAAACCTTTTTTAAGAATCAATTTAGTAATACAATCAAAATAAAGAAAAAAAACAATAATTATTTTTAATATTACTGTTTATATTTTTTAAAAAATTATTTATGAGGGGAGGAAGGAGATTTGCTACAAAAATAATTAAAATTCAACTAAAAGTCGGGTTTTCAATTCCATACTTACTAACTTTTGCTCCCAATAATACAAGAAATATAAATCATTTGAAATAGCTGAAAATTATTAAAAAACTTAAAACTTCCCTAGTGTTAAAAAAAAAAATTATTTATTTGGATTGCCATACCCATACAAACCTTATTTTAAGAATCAATTTAGTAATACAATCAAAAATGAAGAAAAAAAAAACAATAATTATTTTTAATATTACTGTCTTCAAAAAAATTTTCTTAAAAAGGGTACTTTAATTATTTATTATAAAAATAAATATAGGAATTTTCTGGTAAACTGAACTTATTTCCAGTAAATTCATTGGAAACATTTGTCTCTAGTCATTATTTAGTTATACTGTCTATATTATCTTGTACTGCTATCATATTTACAAAAGAAAATGTTATAATAAAATGCTGATAGTAATATAAATAAAATATAATAGAAAATACCTAAAAAAGATTTTATCACATGAGAAACAATAAATGGAAGTCGTTTAATTTTATATATGTTATAGTTTTTACATAGATGATCCATATGTAGAAAAGTTTTACAACCATCTTTTAAAAATATTATTTCAGTTTCAAAAAATTTCACTAATATTTTTATTTATTCTTATTATATAAACATGATTACTTATAATGATTTTTTTTAATTTTAGACTTAAATTATAAAAATGCACATGTGTGTGTGTACAAATGAAAATAAACATGATCTAAAGGAAATATATTCTTGTAAAAGGCATTTAGTTTTGATTTTATTTAAAATTGTGGTAAACAATTGTTTTCATGTTTTTAAATTGAATAAATTTTTTTATAGAAGGGATTAAAATAGATTTAAACACTTAAATGAATCGATGCATACTATATGGATTTTATGGGCTATTGATTTAAAATCTACTTTTAACCCTCTCGCTGCTTAGTTATGTGATTTTTTAACCTACTTTGAAAATATATTTTTTTATTATGTATTTCAAATCTACATATTAAATCTACATTTTAAACATGCAAAAATTGTTGTAAAAGAGTTTTTATTTTATAATATAGAATTAGTTCATACAAAAAATATGAACATGAAAGCATAAATGAAAACAGCAACAATACAAGTTGCACAGCTAAATAGTTGGGAAAATGCATTCCTGTCGAAATCGTGGGAGGGGCAGCAAGATGGTTAAGACTTTGTTATAAGATTTTGGTATCTGCTGCTTATCAAAATGTCAAATTAGTAAGAAGTTTGCTAAGTTGAAAAAAATATTCTAATTTTGATATTTTTTTTAAAGACATATTTACATAAATTTTTGTTACATGTGTTGGCATAATTCTATTGAAATCATCTTGCAAATTTTGATTCTCAAAATTGGGGAAATTACAATTTTGGGAAAATTACAAGTGTTAATCATTTGAAATACAAATTTATTCTTAACGTTTTACATTTATTTTATCAGTCTTTGTTTAAATTCTTGGTAAAAAAATAACTCAGTAAAATAAATAATTCTGATAATCCATTATATCTTATGAAAAGTTGTTAAAAAGTAATGATTTGGAAAACCAGCCAAAAAAAAAGTTGTTTGCTTATAAATACTAAAAATGAAATCTTATGGTTCAAAGGTGTCACAGTATCATACAGATATATGGATTTTTTATTTCTTTATCATTAATCCAATATTTGTTTTCAACTCTATGTCAGTAAATTCCACAGTCCTGTTATGATTTTTTTATGACAACTAAAGTAAAGCTCTTGGAAAAATTACATTGATCAAAGTAAAATAATGGCTAAATGTAAATTATGTTAATCCACATGTATTAAAGCATATATGTAGAGTATGCGCATAGATTCTTTGTTGTTATTATTACTGCATAAATATCTGAAAATGTGCCTGAAATTTAACATTGAAATTGGGATTTGTACAGTAATAAGAAAGTACTATGATTATGTATATGAGTGTGTATGTACCTGTGTGTGTGTAAATATTTTTGTTTATTTTGTGTATTAAATTATTTCATTTATGTAAATATTTTTGTTGTAAATCTTTTATAGATGCAAGAAATGTTTCCAACTTATGATCGAGAAGTAATAATTGGAGTATTGGAAAACTTCCGTGGGAACAAAGATGAAGCCATTACTTCCCTGCTTGCACTTTCTGATAAATGATCTGCAAATGCATGTGAGAAAATTGGTGTAAGCACTCCTGTTTTTGTTGCCATAATCCAGAAGATGATTGTACATTTCTCAAAGCTTTTTTTGTTAAAATGTGCTGACATAGCATTTGGAAAGTCATACAAACCAGCCAATTTATGAGCTTCAGAAGTGAATTTTATAAATGTTTGTCTGTGAAGAACAACTTGCGTCTATTGAAAAAATAATTCATGTGGTTAAAATAAATTACGATGTATAAAAGTTGTTATATTTTGATGGCAAATTTTGTGAAGTGATATATGTATATATATTGGAGCTCAAAAAATTTAATAAGAGTTAAGAAAACTTTTTTATTGAATTTATTTCTAAATTTTATCCCAATCATTACTATTATTATACTAAAGTAGAGGAATAAGGCTTGCTATTTCCTATAATAAAGAAATTTAATTGATTATTTAGATTTTTAGTTAACATTATGTATTTTAAAGTATTTTATAGTGTTGTTCACTTAAAATTAATTTGATGTTGTTAAAGGCTTCTTTAAAAGATAAAGGTTTTTCTTGTTATTTAAATTAAATTTCATTCTTATTATTTTAATGTTGTCTATAATTTTTGATATGTTAATTATTTACTCTTTTGTAAAGCCAATTCATTGTGTTAATTGATATGTACATATAAAATAAAGATAATTTATTAACATCTAAAAGTCTGGAAATTCTTATTGACTTTTCATCTCTTAGAAAGCTTAATTGACAGCTTTAAAGTATTTTTATGGTAATTAAAGATTATACTCTTATTTAATTTTTAAATATTTGACATGCATGATTTTAGCATTTTTAATGAAATTCTGTTGTAGTAAATCAGAGTTGGAAATTTAAATTACTTGTAAGTGATATTAATCACATTTAAAATAATTTTAAATCTATTAAAATATTTTGGTTTTGTGCTTCACATAGTTTTAAAATATTGTTAATTAAATATTATTTAAATGTGTTTTTTAAAGTTTTAATTTTAAACCAGAAAATAAGTTTTATTTTTAAAAAAATTGAAATAAAAATTTTTTTTGTGTGTACTGTGTAAATTTTTGAAATTTACTATCTTTTTTTAATACCAAAATAATTTTCACACAGGCTGAAATTTTAAGTTTTTATTGTTTTGTTAAATATTCATTCAAATTTAAATTATTTGTAACTATGCTATCTCAAATTTTTAAAAATTTGGTAGTTTAATAATTTAAATAATACATATTAATAGTTACTGATTTCTTTTCCTTGAATCTGAAGAACAATAAGTTTAAACAACATTATTTTGTAACAAATCTTAGTGTGTATACTTGGAACTTAACTTTGTAACCTTAAACTTTTTTGTAGTGATTTTTCTTTATTAGTGTGTGAATTTTGTGCTAGAAATAACATTAAAAAAAATATATATAAATATAAGTGTGATACATTCTCCTGCTTTGAATAAATGTTAAACATTTAGTTTTTTTTAAATA